ACACACACACACACACCACACACAAATTTATAAACACAATTTTCTGAGTTTATTTGGCTTTACACATATGTACATGTGTTTAGGGATGAGTGCTTAGGATTGGATCTCCTATCAGGATACTCCTTCAGGAGAAGAGAATAGTCTTCTCTTAGTAGCCATTAATTGCCTGTTGCTCTTCATATGGGGACGGGGCCTTGTGAGATTTCTCCCACCCATGTTGTTATGTCAGTTGGTATCATGTTGTTGAGACTTCATGGGAGTAGTTTCCTTGTTACATGCAGATATCACTATCTTGTATTAGATGCCTGGTTCTCTGGCTCTTACGATCTTTCTGATCCCTCTTCTGTGATGTTGCTTGCGCTGTCTGTGTGGGGGTTGTGTTGCAGATCCACCAATTAGAGCTGAGCACCGCACACTCAGTTGTTCTCTGAATTTTGACTAGCTGTGGCTTTCCAGAATGGTCTTTGCTGCCAACCCCCCCCCAAAAAACAAAAAAAAAAAAAGAAGCTTCTTTGACGTGGGCTAAGCGACACTTATCTGAGGGTATAAGAGTAAGCATTTAGAATGTATTTGGAAATGATGCTGGTTTAAGAAAGTTGCAGTAGTAGGGTCTTCTTCAGGGCCTATGAAGTAATTAGGCGTGGACAGCCGTTAGATTTATAGTATCAGATATTGGTTACCTTTCATTGAAATTAGGCGTTTCTTGATTACCACTGAGATATGTGCTACTGTTTCTCTTTACTGGATATCTTGCTGTCCTCCTCACTTTCGTGGTTCATAGATTTTACAGCTGGGCAACTAGAATTTGCTTAATAAATCCTGAGATTATTTACAGGTCTTGCAAACTGAAACACCCCCTCTGTATTCAGTGACTATAAATTCTGGCATTGCTTTAGGATAAGATAAGAAACTTGAAGTCAGTTGAGTAGATTTCAGGGAATAAGAAGATTTTTTATGAAGTATGCCCCAAGGTATATCATTCAAATACCTTTCTTTTGTGAAATGGTTAAGGGTGGATATTCCATCAAGATGAAGAATTTCATCTTTAATGTAGGCTCTTGCAAATAAACTGGAAAGCAGGTTTTATAACTCTGAGACACCTCGGTGTGAACATCCAAGAGTGAGCTTTTCAGACAGCCTCTTCTAAAAAGCTTGCCTTTGGGGGAATGGGTAACTACATAGGCATCTTCAAGTTAAAAAGAGTATTTTTTTCCATTTCTTACTCAGCTAATAGAGAGCTTAGTAACCTCAAGAGTAAGTGTCTTAAATGTTGTGTCTGTGTCACAGACATCAATAAAAATTATCTATTCAGTAATGTATATGGAATGATAAATGAATCAGAAAGTTTGAACTGGGAAACATTTATCTAATCACATACTTAAAAATCTAAATGGAGCAAAAACCCAAGGAAAAATAGGCTAGTGGGTATTTGTCGAATATTTCTAAGGAAGAAAAGGTTAAATAAAACAGATGGAATCTTCCTTCAATTACTATTGCCTGAGATGGCACTGTGAGCATTCAGAATCCAAATAACAAATAATCCAAAGGTCATCTTTGTTTTTGAGGCATAAAATCCAATTTCTTCTGCAGAACATTTTCTCTGCTGGATAACAGAATAGCCCACTCTGCTCTAATTTCCAGAGAACAATTCAGTTTAAGATGAAGGGCTCCCAGGCACACATTGCTCCTAGGAAATCAGGTTCTGAAGCCCCACCCGAGGAAATGTCTAAATGAAGACAACCATGACCTTCTGCTGATGACATTATTTGTCAGGAGCAAGCAGTTTCTGACGGAGGTGTGGGAAAACTGCAGTGTTCCACTACGGCCTTGATGTCCCCATGTTTTGCTGCGTCTGCGTAGATACTCGGATCACCAATGAGTGATTTAGTGAAACTTAGTGGTCCTGTGGGCTGAGTGGGACCCGACATGTCTGTATCTGTGTATTGAACTCATTGGCGCAGCAGGCACATGAATGGGTACAGAAGTACTTAAGGAAAATGCCAGAATCTTGTTTTGTGTCGCAGTACAGAGGTTGATTCCTCCATCCATTAAAAGAATGAGTAGATAATTACTTTTTAAATTCACGAGGACAGATTTGGGAGCTTAAAGAAAAAAAATCACAAGAATGCGCAAAATAAAGTCTCATAGACTCACTCTTTGTTAAGTCTGTTCTCAGTGACCCCTCATTCTGTACTTTCCTCAAATGTTCTAAGGCCGAGCCCTTGCCTTCTGTTTCCCCACAGTTAACCCTAGCACCTGCTCTCACACAGGCAGCCTGTGTCAGAGACAAACACCGCAGGAAGGAATACGCTGAACACGGAGGAGCTTCAGTCAGCTCAGAGAACTCAGAACTCAGCTAACACGGTGTGGCTGTTGGGTAATGACCCAGGCAAGTGGAATGGGGATTCTGAGAAGGGAAGGAGGGACGACAGACAAACGTGCTTGACAAATTACACTGATTACACTGTGCTCATCAAAGTTCAGCTCAAGTTCAAGGAAATATTTGTGGACAATTTCATGAATAATTCAGTTTGAGTTTTGCTGTTAGCTTTTAGTGAAAACCATGAAGCAATTGATGTTATGATAATTTGTAGCAAACTGTATTTTTTCTGTCTCATGTCTATTCTAAATTCTACCAGTCCCTTTTTAATGAGAAGCCTATTGTATTATATTGTATTATATAGGCTCACTAGAGCTAGGCTCTATCACAGGGCCCAGAAAGGTGTTCATCTTGTCTTGGTATTTTTTTTTAAATAAAAATTCACATTTGTTCTTTTAGAATTTCATACATGTATAAAATATATTTGTGGTGATCTATTGTTTATAGCCACTGAAGATCAGAAAAGCAAAGCAGCCAAGCTAGTAGCTCTTTCCTCTAGAAGCTGAAATGACCATCCTGTCTCCACGAATCCTCAGAAGCAAACACCCCAGTTCCTGTCACTTCCCCGCTTTATACTCCTCTCTGCCCAGCCATATCCGCCTGTCTCCACCTCCCTAGTGCTGGGATTAAAGGCGTGCAATCCCAGATGCTGGGATCACCTTTGTGTGAGCTGCTTCTCCTTTAGACTGGATCAGTTTCGTGTAGCTCAGTGTGGTCTTGAACTAACAGAGATCCCTCTGCCTCTGCCTCTGCCTCTTGAGTCCTGGGATTAAAGGTGTGTACCATCACCGCCTGGCCTCTACGGCTCTGGCTAGCTTTGCGTTTTGCTCTCCAGGGGCTTTATTAAATCATAAATAATATATCACCACGTGTATTTTGGTCACATTGCCCCGAACTCTCCCTCTAACTCTTCCCGGACCCCCTTTCTCATGATTCATTGAACTAACCCCTGCTGTCTGTAAGTGTAAAGGGCCATCTACCGGAGCGTGGGCAATGCTCTCACCGGAACCTATTTTAGCAGGCTGGCTTCCGCTGTCAGAGCTCCTCAGCAGTGGGGCTGTGCGACCCCCTTACCCTAGCTGCGTTAGAATTATGATTGGTTTGATCTAGTGCATGCCTTGTGTAAGCAGTTACAGTCACCGAGATTTGTGAATGCAACTGCTCTGTCTGTCATGTCCAGAGGACACTGTTTCCTGGCCGTCCCTGCCCAACTTCTTGCTCCTATCATCTCCCTGCTGCGTCCTAATCATGTTAATATCAATGCACTTCCTATACATAAATCCAAATAGATCGAGATGTTTTAATATTGAGGAACTTGTAACTGGAAATCTCTGTTTTGTTTTTATTTACTGTTTCTGTCTCTCATGCCATGCATCTCCCCATCCCTTTCGTATCCGCCCTCTGCCCTTGCAACCTCCCCCTCCCCAAATGAAATAAAATTTAAGAGAAAAAAATAGACAGAAGGAAAAAAAATCGATCTTGTCATCGAAGCTGTAGTGTGACACAGAGAGTCCACACAGTAAAAACTTTTATCCGTGTACATCTTTACTTGGAAGTGTTCATTTCAGAGAGTCGTTGGTCTGGCTCGAGGCCTCTGGTTTCTGCTACATTGTCAATGCTAAGCCATCACTGGAGCTCCTCTTGATTATCCTGCTGTTGTACGGTGTTGTGAAAATCCTGCAGCTATGCAGGACTGGTCCTTTCGCGTGCTGCAGTAGACCACACATGGGGTGGATACTGGGGTGAGCCAACACATAAGCCTGGTTCTGGGCCTGGGGAGTTGCAGGGTTGGTCAGCAAGCCAGCTCTTGCTTGTCCTCACCACCAAGATGAACTCACCAGCACGGCTTATGGGAGGGAGTTCATCCCTTCTAGTCACAAGCAAGGGGCGGGGCCAGTGCTCCTGCTTCCCTGTCCTGGGGCTCAGCTCTCCCACACCTACACCTTCAGGGTCAGCTCTGCTGTGTTGCCCAGGACTGGCATAGGGGCCACTCTCCCGAGTGCTGCAGCGGATGAGGGGCAGGGCCAGCTCTCCCAGCTGCCTCCAGGGTGGGGATGGGGGTCGGGAGATGTCGTCTTTCTCCTGCCCATACCACCACAAGACAGGGGCATTTTTATTTTATACAACACCATTTAAAAGTATTTAAGTGCAAAAGAGGTTTTTCTTTGTTCTCTTTTTTGTTAGAACCAGATATTACCAGAAGTCATTTAATAATACTTTTAAAGCCTTCAAAGGCATTTTTCTGCCTTTATGCAAAACAGGCTATAAGGAACATTATGTCTATTTCAAGGATGAAAACTTTGGGACACATTCACAGTTTTGTTCTAGACTGATAGCTTTTATATAGCAGAAATTTAACTACAATATTGATTATTTTTTCTTTTAAGATTTTTAAGTTATTCTAAGATTAGGATGAGTTTTTTAAATAAAAAAATTAATTGAAACACAATGGATTTACAATAACATTGTATACAGGGGCAAGCTTTGATTTCTATGGCAGGCCCCAAGTCACGTTCATGTGCCCAGCTTCCACACACACTTGCCAGGCTTACTTTGGGCTAGTGACTAGAGAGGCAGCTACCTTGAGATCTACCGCCTTAAGGAATGTCAATAACAATATTCTAAAGATCACCCAATGGAACCATATGTGACCAAAGTTCTAATGCAGAAGTTAGACCGATTTCTTGAGGCTCACATGAAAGTGAGGAGACAAAGACACTTCCAGGACCCTTAGGTTGCAGTGAAAGTATTGTTGGATAAATGTGTGTTAGAAGCAGCAGGAGGAGATAATTACACTGCTATTTGTGGGGGCAGGGGTGAGTAAGGTAAACTTAAAACTAATGAGAAGCTATAAATTGTCTTCAGCAAAAGGGGATGAAGGAAATGAGATGTGTCATAGGATAATTGGAAGAAAATGGCCCCAAAAGGAAAGGCACTATTGGGAGGTGTGGCCTTGTAGGAGGAAGTGTGTCACTGTGGGGGTGGTCTTTGAGGTCTCTTTGGCTCAAACTTTCCTCAGTGGGATCATCAGTCAACTTCCTGCAGCCTTCTGGTCAAGATGTAGTGCTCTCAGCTCTAGGACCACATCTGTCTGCACTCCACCACGCTCCCATCATGATCATAACAGGCTGAATCTCTGAAACTGTAAGCGAGCCACCCCAATTAAATGTTTTCATTTATAAGAGTTGCCATGGTCATGGTGTCTCTTCACAGCAATGATAGCCCTAGGATAGCAATGTTGACCATAACTAAATTAACTTAAGTACAATGCTCAAAATAGTGCTTGTTAATGAGGAAGTACTGAAACAAATCAAAATGCTGCCACAATCATCTTTAAGATAAGTCAGTTGTGATGGGACACACCATATTTTGGGCCACCTGTTAGGAATTAAAGGTGGGGAAGACCTGACTCTTTTTGAACTTTGTTTAATCTTAATCCTTTAAGAAATTATCTTTGGAGGCTGGAGAAATGGCTCAGCAGTTAAGAGAATGTGTTGTTCTTCCAGAGAACTGGTTTCCAGCACCCACATCAAGCAATTACCTGTGTCACCAGTTCCAGGTTATACAAGCCCCTCTTCTGGCGTCTGAACACAGCATGATTTTTATTGGAGTTCCTTACAGGAGTATGGATGAGGGTTTACTTACAGAAGCAGAAATATCTCAAAGACAGCTATATCAACAAAGCCTACCTCAGCATGACTGACAGTTTGTAAATGCTGTGAACCTGGAGCACACTACATTGAGCAGCGTGTAGGTAGCTCAACAGGTTGGAGGGTTTTTTTGTGCCTCACTCAGTTGGCCTCAGCCCTTCCAGGTTGCTCAATTGGAGTCTGCTTCTGTCAGGCAGATTGTTTTGTCTGGGAATCTTCTTTGTAGCTTGACTTAGGTCTAAGAGTGGCTCTCAGCACTCTTTACTGTTTGCTCCAGGAGAGTGAGACCTAGTAAATCTTGTCAGTTTCAGGGACTTCCTGAAAGCTGTCTTGAGTTGTTTACTTTCTGTCTTTAGGAGCTTTACCTACAAAACAGAACATTTCAATATTGGAGGAAATTGTAATACAACAGGTCTCTAAGAATCAGCTGTTCAAAGTTCAGATTGACTGCTGATGTAGGGATAGTCATACACAATTTTGTAGTGAAGAATTCTCAGAAAAAAGAAGGAAAAATAGGAAGAGGGAAAAGAATTTTTAGGTAAAGAAGAAACCCAGAAATCAACTTACTGTATCTGATAAGGAAACTACCATTTTGAACACATAAACTACAGTCTGCAGAATGACATGTTTCTTTAGAAGCATTTGATACCAAAGCCTGTTCTTTCCTGCTTTTAAGACTAGCATATTATGACACTTCAGTCTATCTTTATGAGCTCCCCACCTGATTGTGATATTCCCATTTTTTCTTTCCCTCTTGTCTGAATTTTGTCACCCCCAAAACACTTTTCCAATTAGAATATCAATTATGTGGAGGAATTTCATCTTGTTCACTTCTGTTATGTAAGCATAATAGTTGAATGAATGAATGAAGCTTTACTGAGCTACAGAGTTGCAGACCTCAGGGCTAACACACTCTGGGGACTCTTATTTCTGTCACCATCCTCTACATTAATGTCTAAGTCTTATTTTAATTTTTATAAAGGAAAAAATGATGGATTCCATCAATAAAGAAACATATGTAGATATCAATGCCACAGTGAGGGCCAGAGAAAATTGAATAGAATGCAGTTATGATAAAAAATAAACAACAAACAAACAAAAATAAATAAACAAAACAAAATCATCCAGGGATCCAGCAACAGTTCAAGCCAGCCATGTTCTTAACTGTCCTCAGCCTTGGTTTGTTCTGATGAACTGGGTCCCATGTTAATAGGACAAGAAAAAAAGGTATACAGAATTGCAGGAATTTGCAAATATCTCTTTATTCACTAAAGGCAGAAAGGAAATGAGCTTTAGATTGATACAAAATTCAATCACCTTCAAAAAGCCCATTTTTTTTCTTCTTTTTCCATTATTCTAGTGCAGTGCATTTTGGCTCATTTGATGAGACTGACAGAGTTCTCAGACATAGGGGAGCCAGGATGGAACTTTTAAAAAAGTGGCAAAACAGAAGCAACTTTGAATGAACTGTGACCAATTCTATGTGATTAAATTACCCTGAAGACAATACGCATGTCTACTTATGCTGAAAGGCAAGTAACATGTTTAAGTGAAGCACACAGGAACTTTGTTTTAAATTGTATCTCAAGACAGAATTCAATTAATTTTTTTATTAAAAGTCCCTCTTTTCAAAAACATGACATGCGTGTATTTGCTATGTACAAGTCTTAGATTTTGAACTAATTAAATGTGGATGTATTTAGGGAGTCCACAAGTGCCCAGAAAAAGGGAAGTCAGTTATTCATTGGGGAATCACTCATAAAGGACAAAGCAAGGTAGAGAACCACGGAGGTCTTCTGTCCTTAGCTGCTGGACGCAGCCAACTGCTTTCATATCACAACCCAAGAGACACAGCACTTGCTCCCAGCCCACACATAGTCTCTGAGATCCGCCCTAAAGGGGCCGATCCCTCAAAGACTATTGGAGGTAAAATTTCCAGCAACAATTAAACACTAACATTCACAAAGGAGTTTATTTCTTATCAAGAAACTCATTTATAGATACAGAGAGTGAATTGACAATGTATTTTTCTCCACTATAGCCGCAGTTCACATCATGAAACAGCAAGCTAGCATGATTCTCCTAGTATCAGTTATAGGATGCTGAAATGGCTATTTTAGAAATAAAGGAGGTAGGATTTCTTTTTTTAATTTTTTTAGGAGGTAGGATTTCTGCTGTAACAATTAAAGATATTGGGGCAATATAAAGATTCTTTCTTACTTGGTAAGTATATACCAAGAAATACATATTTCTCTATTGTTTATTTAAATTAGAATCAAACTTGTTTTACATATCAAGAAACCCCTATCCCATCCCCTTTGTGCTCCCCAGGGAGGGTGAGGCCCTCCATGGGGGATCTTCAAAGTCTATCATATCCTTTGGAGCAGGGCCTAGACCCTCCCCCATGAGTCTAGGCTGAGAGAGCATCCCTCTATGTGGAATGAGCTACCAGAGAACCACGTAGATTGCCAAGGTCTCCTCACTGTCAGGGGATCTGGATCAGTCCTACGCTGGCTTGCCAGCTATCAGTCTGGGATCTATGAGCTCCCACTTGTTCAGGTGGGCTGTTTCTGTAGGTTTCACCAGCCTGGTCTTGACCCCTTTGCTCATCACTCCTCTCTCTCTGCAACTGGATTCCTGGAGTTCAGTTCAGTGGTTAGCTGTGTGTGTCTGCTTCTGCTTCCATCAGCTACTCTATGAAGGCTCTAGGAGGGCATATAAGGTAGTTGTCAATGTCATCATAGAGGAAGGACATTTAAGGTAAACTCTCCACTATAGCTTAGATTGTTAGTTGGTGTCATTCTTATTGATCTCTGGACATTTCTCTTGTGCCAGATTTCTCTTTAAACTTATAATGGCTCCCTCTATTATGGTATCTCTTTTCTTGTTCTCCTCTGTTGTTCCCTCAACTCAACCTTCCTGCTCCCTCATGTCCTCCTTTACCCTCCTCTTCTTCCTCTCTCTTTCTCCTGGGTTCTACTCCCCTTCCTCCATGGTTCCAGTTTTCTCAGAAGATCTTGTCCCTTTCCCCTTTTCCACAGGACCATGTATGTCTCTCTTAGGGCCCTCCTTGTTTCCTAGCTTCACTGGCAGTGTGGATTGTAGGCTGGTAATTCTTTGTTCTATGTCTAAAATCCATTATCTGAGTGAGTACATACCATGTTTGTCTTTTGTGCTGGGTTACCTCGCTCAGGATAGTTTCTTCTAGTTCCATCCATTTGCCTGATTCTATTTTTTTCTACTGAGTAGTACTCCATTGTGTAAATGTGCTACATTTTCTCTATCCTCTCTTCAGTTGAGGGGCATCTCGGTTGCTTTCAGGTTCTGGCTATTACAAATAATGCTGCTATGAACATAGTGGAATAGACATCCTTGTTGTATGAATGTGCATCGTCTGGGTATATGACTAAGAGTGGAATTGCTGGATCTTGTGGTAGATTCCCATTTGCCTGAGCAATCTCCATACTGATTTCCAAAGTGGCTGTATGAGTTGGCACTCCTACCAACAGTGGAGGAGTGTTCCCCTTTCTCCATATACTCTCCAAGATGAACTGTCATTGGTGCTTTTGATTTATCCATTCTGACAGGAGTGAGATGGTATCTCAGAGTGGTTTTGATTTGCATTTCTCCCAATGGCTAAGGATGTTGAGTACTTTATCAAGTGTCTCTCAGTCATTTTAGACTCCTCTATTGAGTATTCTTTATTTGGTTCTGTAGACCACTTTTTAATTGATTATTTGGTCTTTTGGAGACTTGCTTCTTGAGTTCTTTGTGAATTTTGGAGATCAGCCCTCTGTCAGATATGGGTTTGGTGAATATCTTTTCCTATTCTGTGGGCTGCCTTTTTATCTTGTTGACTGTGTCCTTTGCCTTACAGAAGCTTCTCAGGCTATTGTAAAGGGTGATGTTTCTCTGATTTCTTTCTCAGTCACTTCATCATCTGTATATAATAGGGCCACTGATTTTTTTGAGTTTACCTTGTATCCTGCCACATTGCTGAAGGTGTTTATCAGCTCTAGGAGTAACCTTGCGGAGTTTTTTTGGGTCACTTATGTCAACTATCATATCATCTGCAAATAGTGAAAGTTTGACTTCTTCTTTTCCTATTTGTATCCCCTTTATCTCCTTTTGTTGTCTTATTGCTGTAGCTAGAACTTCAAGTACAATAGTGAAGAGATATGCAGAGAGTGGACAGCCTTGTCTTGTTCCTGATTTTAGAGGAATTACATTGAGTTTCTCTCCATTTAGTTTGATGTTGGCTGTTGGTTTACTGTATATTGCTTTTATTATGTTTAGGTATGTTCCTGTTTTCTAGGACCACATGAAGGAGTGTTGGATTTTGTCGAAGACTTTATCAGCATCTAGTGAGATGATCATGTGATTTTTCTTTTGCAGTTTGTTTATATGGTGGATTACATTGATGGATTTTCATGTGTTAAACCAACCCTGCATCCTTGGGATGAAGCCTGATTGATCATAATGTATGTTTTTTCTGATGTGTTCTTGTATTGGATTTGCCCATATTTTATTGAGTATTTTTGCATCAATGTTCATGAGTGATATTGGTCTGTAGTTCTCTTTCTCAGTTGTGTCTTTGTGTGACTTGGGTACCAAGGTAATTGTAGCCTTGTAAAAAGAGGTTGACAATGATTCTTCTGATTCTATTGTGAAACACTTTGAGGAGTATTGGTATTAGCTATTCTTGGAATTTCTGTAGAACTCTGCACTGATGCCATCTGGCCCTGTTTTGTTTTGTTTTGTTTTTTTTTGGTTGGGAGAGTTTTGATGACTGCTTCCTCCATTTCATTAGGGGTTATAGGTCTGTTTAAATTGTTTGTCTTTTTTTGGTTTAATTTTGGTAAGTGTTACCTATCCAGAAAATTGTCCATTTCCTTTAAATTTTCCAATTTTGTGGAGTACAGGTTTTCAAATTAAGACCTGAAGATTCACTGGATTTCCTCCGTGTCTTTTTCATTTCTGATTTTGTTAATTTGCATGGTCCCCTCTGCTTTTGGTTAGTTTGAATAAAGGTTTGCCTATCTTATTTATTTTCTCAAAGAACGAACTGTTTGTTACGTTGATTCTTTGTATTGTTTTCCTTGTTTGCACTTTATTGATTTCAGCAATCAGTTTGTTTTTTTCCTGGCATCTACTCCTCTGGGGTGAGTTTGCTTCTTTTTGTTTTAGAGCTTTTAGAGCTTGTTTAGAGTTTTCAGTTGTTCTGTTAAGTCTCTATTGTGACTATTCTCCAGTTTCTTCATGTAAGCACTTAGTTCTATGAACTTTCCTCTTAGTACTGCTTTCAAAGTGTCCCATAAGTTTGGATATGTTGTGTCTTCATTTTCAATGAATTCTGGGAAGACTTTAATTTCTTTCTTTATTTCTTCCTTGACCCGGGAATGGTGCAATTGCGCCTTGTTCAATTTCCTTGAGTTTGTAGAGCGTCTGGAATTTGTGTTGTTGTTAAATTCTAACTTTAAAGCATGGTGGTCTGATTAGACACAGAGGGTTATTCCAATTTTTTTGGACCTATTGAGGTTTGGTATGTTGCTGAGTATGTGGTCAGTTTTAGAGAATGTTCCATGTGACGCTGAGAAGAAGGTATATTCTTCTGTATTTGGATGGAATGCTCTATAGATGCCTGTTAAACCCAATTGGGTCATAACTTCTATTAGTTTCTTGGTTTCTTTGTTAAGTTTCTGTCTGGTGGTCCTGTCTACTGGAGAGACTGGGGTGTTGAAGTCTCCCACAATAACTCTGTGAGGTTTTATGTGTTTCTTTTATGAATGTGGTTGCCTTTGTATTTGGGGCAAAGATGTTCAGAATTGAGACTTCTTTCTGATTGATTTTTCCTGTGATGAATATGAAATGACCTTCATCTCTTTTGATTGATTTTAGTTTGAAGTCTTATTTGTTAGATAGTAGGATAACTATACCAGTTTGTTTCTTGGGTCCATTTGATTGGAAAATCTTATCCCAACCCTTTACTCTGAGGTAATGTCTGTCTTTGAAGTTGAGTTGTGTTTCTTGTATGCAGCAGAATGATGGATTCTGTCTTCATATCCATTCTGTTAGCCTGTGTCTTTTTATAGGCAAGTTAAGATCATTAATATGGGGGGGATTAAGGATCATTGAGTGTTAATTCTTGTGTGTTTTGGATTTATTGTTGTTGTTGTTTGTACTGTGTGTGGAGTTACCCTGCTTTTTCTTTTGTCTTTTGGTAATGTGGGATTATCTATTGCCTACATTTTTTGTGAATGTAGTTAACTTCTTTAGGTTGGAATTTTCCTTCTAGTACTTTCTGTAGGGCTGGATTAGTGGATATGTATTTTTAAAATCTGGTTTCATCATGGAATATCTTGTTTTCTCTATCTATAGTGATTGAATTCTTTGCTGGATATAGTAGTCTTGGCTGGCATCCTCCGTGGTCTCTTAGTGTTTGTGGAATATCTATCCAGGACAATCTGGCTTTCAGAGTTTCCATGGAGAAGTCAGGTTCGATTCTGATAGGTTTGCCTTTATATGTTACTTGGCCTTTTTCCTGTACTTCTTTTAATATTCTTTCTTTATTCTGTATGTTTGATGTTTGAATTATTATGTAATGAGGGGGACTTTTTTGTGGTACACTCTATTTGGTGTTCTGGAGGCTTCTTGTACTTTAATTGACATGTCTTTCTTTAGGTTGGAAAAATTTTTTTCTATGATTTTATTGAATATGGTTTCTGCATCTTTGAGGTGGTTTTCTTCACCTTCTATACCTAATATTCTTAGGTTTGACCTTTTCATGGTGACCCATATTTCCTGAATATTTTGTCTTAGGGATTTGTTGGACTTAAGATTTTCTATGGTCAATGAATCTATTTCTCCTAGTGTATCTTCAATGCCTGAGATTCTGTCTACCATCTCTTGTATTTTGTTGGTTATGCTTGCATCTGTAGTTCCTGGTCATTTGCCCATCTTTTCTAATTCCAGCAATACCTCAGATTATGCTTTTTTAATTGTCTCTATTTCAACTTTCAAACCTTGTTTTGCTTTAATTGTTTCCTGCAATTTTTGGTTTGTCTCTTCTTCCATTTTTTAAAAAGGATTTTCTTATTTCCTCTTTTAGGGTGTCTATCATGTTCATGATATTGTTTTTAAGGTTGTTCTCTTCTGCTTCATCTGTGTTGGACTGTTCAGGTCTTGCTGGTGTAGAGTCCCTAGACTCTGGTGGCATCATATTGGTTTTTCTGTTGTTGAATGTGTTCTTTTTTTTTTTTTTTTTTTTTTTTTTTTGGTTTTGCGAGACAGGGTTTCTCTGTATTGTTTTGGAGGCTGTCGGTCCAGCCCGGCCTCGAACTCACATAGATCCACCTGCCTCTGCCTCCTGAGTGCTGGGATTAAAGGCATGAGCCACCACCGCCCGGCTTTGAATGTGTTCTTATATTGTCATCTTCCCTTCCCCTATTCCTGTGGGTGTGGGTGTGGCCTCTTCGTCTCCTGATGGGTATGGGTCCAAGGTTCTCTTCTGGTGGGTGCAAGCAGGTCCAGTACTCTGATGGGTCTCATAGTGGGTGCAGGTGTGTCTGAGGCACTCCTTCTCCTGGTGGGTGGGAGCTGGATTAGCACAGTGCTGTCAGCAGACTCTTGGCGAGCTGAGGTGGGGGTGGGGTTGGGGGTGGGGGGTGGAATGTGACCTGAGTCAGCAAGCAGAAGTCGTGCCCCAGGCGGGGGCTGGAGCTCACCTCTGCCCTGAGTGAGGGCAGGAGTACCCCAGGGATCTCAACAGACTCAAGGTTGCTAGGTCTGCAGAGGACGAGTGGTTTTGCCTATAGTCTCCAGGCCAGAAGATCCCAAGGTGGGCAAGTGGAAGTCCGGAGCAAGATATATTTTAAATTTAACAACTATGACAACAAAATTGATAACTAATTCAAGACATTCCAATGCTATAAAAATACCAAATGCAAAACAAGGAACAAAATATTATACCAAGTTAGATACAGAAAAGTCCTGGCTGAGCAAATGAGATATGAAGGATTCTGGGAAAATATGAATATAGTCTGAAATTTAAATAATGTAAAGATTTTATTAAGGTGGAAAGATGGGAACTATTAGCTAAAAATAGTTTTAGCCTACTATGCATATTTAAACATTGTATTTACTTAAATACATACCTGTATATATTAAATAATTTTGAAAAAGTATTCAATTATAACAATGACAATGCAGAAACATTATGTGATAATTTATTCAAATATCAAATGAACTTAGTTTATATCTTTTTTTTAGTTACTGCTACTTCTAAATAGCACATGATTAATAAGAAAGATTACTATTAGTAATCATTTATTTAAAAAGTACACAGAAGCCAGACCTAGGTGCCATCTGAAGTTTGGTGAGATTGCCATAAGTTTCTCTGCATGAAATACAGTTTGCTTCAGTCACAAAAGATCTATTAACCTGCATGTCCCTCCCTCTGTGGCAGAGACATACAGCTTTTTTTCTGTCTCTTCTTCATGGCTGCCAAATACTCATTTATGTTTCCACACTCATGTCATTTTCCACTTTTTCTATGAGGTATCTTACATAAACACTTACAAAAACAGTTCTCAAACACTATTGGGGTACTCTTATCTTTCATGGCTTGTTAGCACATGATGGTCTCTATTCTAATAGTTGTGTGGAGAGTTTAAAAAAAGCTGTCATTACAACAACAACAACAACATCAAAATAAACTAAGGTCACTTTCTTTTGGCCTATGAATCCTGACCTGACACAAAGTCAAGTAACAAGTTGTCATGTGAAGATCTGGGGGAGAGTTAATGTTCCGCAAGCATGGTTGGAGGGTGGGAGATGCTGGTTTGTTGTGGCTAGGTCAGATCAGCAATATGTAATTATGAAGCCCGACTTTATATACAACCTTGTAGCCCAGGCTGACCTGAAACTCATGGTCTTTCAGGTTCGGCCTCCTGAGTGCAGGGTTACAGATGTATACCATTAGACCTAACTCAGAAACTATTTTCCTCTTCATCTTAGTTTCTGACTCCATTTCAAGCTCAGTTCAGACATCAAAAGGTTCACTAAAGTTAAGTCGTACTTTAAAGTTTGAATTTAGGCTGGATTACGAAAATGTTCTCTGGGACCAGGGATCGATGTGGTTGGCGATTCTCCACAGGTCCCGTCTGAGTTTGAAAGCAGCATGGCATAGAAAGATGACGACACAGGCATCCTACATCCTGCTCCAGGTACAACTAGAAGAACCGAAGTGTTGGGAACTTTGAATTTCCTCCACACTTTTCTGCTGTTACTTTTTAATGCAAGGACTCATAGTATGCAGTGAGCCATAGACTATTAATGTTTCTCCCCAAATAGTTAGGTAGTGGGCTCTAAAAGCTGTCGGTAAAGTGACACGAAATAATGGAATAATAAGCTTTCAGCTGAGTGGGACATAAAGGACATCCAGTTATCCAATTAAGAAACCCCTTCTTTTGTCAGGTCGCTGGAATGGTGCCCACTGTGTAGTTCCACAGTCTGCTTTCAAGCAGTCACGTCACAGTTTCAGTTAGAAAAGCCATTTTGACGGAAGTCACCTTTAAAATTAAGATACTTGTGGTCTTTTGAAGGAGAAGGGGATCGGTGTTCTAGAGAATATCCTAAACAGGGAAAGGATCCGAACTCACCTTCCCATTTGCCTCGTGACGGTGGGTCCTCGGTAGACGAGAACGAAAGGGAAAAGGATGTGTGGGAACTTCCTTCTTTTTTCTCCCTAGCAGTGCCACTTGCAACGCACGCCAGCCACTCAGCCACCTTGCAAGTTATGGGAGGTTGTGAAAATCCCGAGGAAATGAGATTCAAACAAACAGATAGGGTGCTTTGGAGACGGCACAGAAAGAGAGATCTGCGGAAATCCAGCAGCTGGCTCAGAAATCCAGTCTAGCTACTGAGCTAGAGTTGGCGCCTGTCTCATCAACTGACCCCCCCCCCACCCTAGCATTATGACTTTAATTTGCTGAATACTCGAAGATTTGCTTTCTATTTATCTACAAGAATGATGGCTCCCTTTCAGCTCAATATCCTCATAAAACCCATAAAAGAACTTAGCTCGAAGGGATTGACTGGACCGCTAATTGTGTCTAGTCTTAGAAATAAGCTGGTTTGAAATAAAATGCAGAGAAACAATTAAAGTCCTGGAATTTTCTTGAAATGAAACTCCTACAAATTATGAGATATGTGAAGTAATAGTTTACAAATTGACACTTTTTAAAAAATGATAGTCCACCTAAGCGGAAAATTGAGATTGTAACTAAAAGTACATATGTAAAAATTTTATATGTGTAGTTATACACACACATATACATATCTTTGTATAATGATGATTCCCTTCCAGCCCTTGGGCTTTAAGTTATAGCTTTGAGTATCTACGGTTAGCATTCAGGCATCGCACTGGCCTGCCCTTGGGGTTCTGACAGGATACACCCTCAGCTGCAGCCACTAAGGGCACTACCTGTGCACATTCACTATGTTCCCTTTTAAAAGGGCTCTGTCTGTCTACCATTCTCTCTCTCTCTCTCCTCTTCTGCCACCCCTATCCCCAGAGGCAGGGCCCCCTTTCCCCTCTCCCCCTTTCTCATTCACTTTTCCCCCAGTAAAAACTCTCACCCAAGCTAGGTCACATGGTGTCTTTCTCTTGCCAGCTGCTTTTAAAAATTACAACGTCTACTACCACCTCTAGAATAGTTCTCTAAACACAGAAAATAAAATATGAGGGGTTGTGAAGGAAATCAATGATCCTGAAACAGTCTGTGAACTATTGATTAATGTGATATAAACTTTAAGGAAACATTACGTTTGATCTGTCAGAAGAGAATGTGACTCCCGCAGCTCAAGCTTTTGATCCTAACAGCAGCACCTGAGGTAATTGCTCCTCTCACAGGTAACTTAGGCCAGTTGGCATTTCCACTGCTGAAAAGACCAACAGGTTAGTGTTAAAAGACCATAGTTGGCAGAATGTATTAATACTTGAAGAAATTATTTTTTTCCTTTTCTTTTATTTTTTGGAGATAGGTTTTCTTTGTGTAGCTTGGCTGTTCTGAACTCACTCTGCAGACCAGGCTGGCCTCAAACTCAGAGATCTGCTTGTGAGTGCTGAGATTAAAGGCATGTCACACCACTGCCCAGTAGAAATTATTTTAATACAAATAAAAGTGTTCATTTTTGTCCCATTTAAATCCAAGATGTCTAAACCAAGAACCAATGATCTAGAAGTATTTACTTTGTTAGATGTATAGACAATACAGGAGGCCAGAGAAGAAGACTTGGAAAAAAAACAACAAGAAACAGACATCAGAATTAAGCCCACAGTGGTCAGTGAAACTTAAAACCAGCCAAAACAAGAGTTTCAAAAGGTGGGTCCTTAGGACTTTGAAAAGTACTTACTTTCAATTTCAGGGAAACCAAGCCACTAAAGCCAGCTTCCAGGTTAGAAACTCTCCTGAGAACTAGGAAAACATAAGCAGTCCCCAAACCAACATTCCTCTAAGTTTCTGGGCTACTTTGTTTCTGGGTCATGTTCTGTACCAGTTTAGGGAGAAAAGGAGCTGGAAAATATGAAGCGTGCCTGAACTTATGAGAAGCATGTGACTGTTACCACATCACCCAGATAGACATTTAGCTGATGGGGTAAGTGCATTTCTCATGGTATTGTCCTTCTGCTAAAAGGTTGCTCTGATGCATTCCACTGAATCTATTTACTGTGTTGGAGAATTGTCTACATAATGGCTGATGTGGTTAATGACTACTGTGGTGAAGAGTCAAAATGTATTTTCATTTAAATAACAAGATCAGGAAAGCTGCTCTTCTGTTCCCAGCTGCAGTCACTGTGGTTAAAGTGCACGCAGTGTGACCTGAGAACGGGTTAAAGTGCACGCAGTGTGACCTGAGAACGGGTTAAAGTGCACCCAGTGTGACCTGAGAACGGGTTAAAGTGCACGCAGTGTGACCTGAGAACGGGTTAAAGTGCACCCAGTGTGACCTGAGAACGGGTGTGACTTTTCAGTCCCTTGTTCATCTAATAACATTTTGCCTTGGCCTTTGGTACAGTCCTCAGCATTCAGAGACTCAATGTTTGAAGGGATGGAGTTGAAATCAGCACTTTTTAATTACTTTCTGCATTAATCTGAGTGATGAAAACCGTAAGCAGGCTATGTCTTCTGCAGTACTTTTAAGAAAAGGAACTTCCCTTGGTTTTGATAAAGATTCACAAGTCAACGTTGACTTGAGCTTTCAGGAGAGACTTCAGGCTTGGTCTTCTGAATAATGTTGGAACTATTCTAATGATGGGGGCTCAAGGAAAGAAGCTAAATACAACTTTACTTTATGAGACAGCCGAGAGCCAAAGGACCAGGAGTAGAACGTTATGGTTTGGCTGTGAGCTGCCCTTTTCTATCCATTAAGAGAAGGTTGCTCCACAGCTGCTGGCACTACTTTGGAGTCTATGGAAATTTTGGGGGATGGGACCAGCTAGAGGAATTAGATCCTAAGGAACATACTGTTGAAGATTATACTTTGTTCCCAATTTCTTCCTAGGTCTTTGTTTTCTGACGGATATGAAGAGGTAACCAGTCTCTTCCCCCGTAAGACCCTGGTATTCACCATGGATCCATAAACAGTAGTACCAAACCCTGGACTGAAATCTCTGAAACCATGAGCCAAAATAAACCTTCCTTCCCTTGTCAAAAAAAAAAAAGAAAAGGAACTCCCTGCAGATATGCTTTACCCTTTCTCCATTAGTAAGCATGTGCGCTTGAGTATCTTTTACAAGAGACAGAGTTTGTATTTTAGTATGGACAAATAATAGGCTATGTTATGTCATATATACCATATAATAGAAGCACTGTGATGAAAACAGGAGAAGGGAGCGATGGGAAGTTACTGTTTTATGCTACACAAAGGTGCTCTCTGCAAGGAAACCAGAAGGAAGCAAAGGGAAAGACCTGTGGCTCTCTGGAGAAAGGGGAATCATTAAGGTATTATGCCACAGGTACAGCAGTCACCGGATGAGAGATGGCATGTGACTTTTCATGACATTTGAACCCTTTCCTTTGCTTTCAAGATAGGGTTTCCCTGTGCTCTGTAGATGAGGCTGGCCTCAAAGTCACAGAGATACTCCTCTATCTCTTGAGTGCTGGGACTGAAGGTGTGTGCCACCACTGTCTGCTGCCATTTAAATTTTATATAAAGTGTCAGAGGAAACCATTGGAGAATATTTCATAACAAGGTGGTATGATTACAGAGATAGCCTGTAAGTAGGTTAAGGTAATGGCAAAGAGGGTTGGTTCACTGTGGAGACAATGAAGTTCTGCTGGAATTAAAGAGATAATGCTAACTCACTAAATTTCCAAGTTAGCAGAAATAACCCTAAGAATTATTTAGAAGATATTGAGTTTCGAGACCATCATATAATCATGCAGCCAGTTTCCAATATTAAATCAAAGCCTGTAATACTCTTCTTACTCTGCCCTTTTTATGAACTCTCAAAGGATAACAAGAGTCATATCAATAAGCCCAGCTGTACCAGTTGCAACAACACTCGTTTACAATAATCACATACAATAAACAAATGCTAGCATCTTTAACATAAATTTTTATTGATTCTTTGGGAATGCTACATCATGTACCTCTATCCCACTCATTTCCCAGTCCCTACACATCTGTCCCTCAACTCAACAGCACCTCCCCCAAAAGAAAAAAAATTAAAAATGTCGATAAAAGCCAAACAAATAAACAAAGACCTACTTTGGTCTTTCCTGCCTCTCCAACATCTCTTCATTCATCTTAGTGGCACTGGGAGCTTCGGTGTGTCACACAGTATAGCCTTTGCCCACTCAGCTTTACTTGCAAATGTTCATTGCAATGAGTTGTTGGTCTGGTTCAAGGCCTCTGACCTCTGGTACGTCATTAATAATGGACCCTCACCAAAACTCCTCTTGGATATCCTGATGTTTCCCTGAGTCATGGAGATCCTGGGGCTATGGTAAGGTAAGAGCAGTCCCTACACACTCCTGCAGGTCATAGATGATGTAGATGCTAGAGTGGACCAACTCAAAGCTCAGGGTGTGGGTGGGGGTGTGGGTGGTAGCTGATTTGGTCAGTCTGGGCACTCAGACTGCGAAGGGCAAGCCAGCTCTTCTATGTCGATGCCATGCAGGCCAGTTCTTCTGTGACTGTGAGGCTAATTCTCCAGAGTGTGGGGCCAGCTCTGTCTTGAGAGGTGGAGACTGCTCTTCCACTGCAGGGGCCAGCAAGGGGCAGTGGTGGCTCAGCATGACCCTTGGATTTCAACATGCATGGTTTCTATGGCCCCTTGTGGTCAACACAGACCCCCGCTGTAGTAGGACCATGGGCCCAGACACATGGCCAATGGTAGCAGCTTAAGTGCAGATGTCACCATGACCAGGTGGCAGAGTGGGCCGCCCAGATCAGTATGACCCTGGTGGCAGCATGGCCCTTGGACACCAACATGGCCTCAGGTGGCTGACCAGACCATGGGTATCCACATGGCCATTCGTGGTAACAGGCGCCATGGACATCAGCTCAGATCCTGACTGTTGTAGGGTCACAGACCCAGACATGGTCATCAGCAGCAGTCTGGGCCCAGATGTCACCATGGCCCCGGGTGGCAGCATAGTCTGATGTTAAAATGTTTAGGTTTATCCAGTAACAAGACACAAACTGTGACTCAATGATCCCACGTGGAGTTTATTGGTAGACAGGGAGGGAAAAGGGGGATGAGAGGTAACTATGCAGAACACACACACACACACACACACACACACACACATACAGAAAGAGAGAGAGAGAGAGAGAGAGAGAGAGAGAGAGAGAGAGAGAGAGAGAGAGAGGAGATGGAGAGTAAGACGAGAGTAAAAGAGTAAGAGAACATAAGCAGGCAGGGGTCAGTCCTTTAAAGGGGTCCTTTGCACCTGCGTGGTTCTCACAGAACTCTGGGCTGGCCAGAGTGCTGCCTGAGTGCATCCTGCCAGGTAACAGGGCAGGCCAGCGTAATGCCTGAACCTTTCATAGTCCACTCAGATTGGCATGCCCCAGCAGTGACATGGCCCTCAGATTGATTGCAACACGTCTGCAAGTGGTGGCCCAGACCTTGGGTTTCTATGTTCCCTTTCAACTGCTAGTGTTTTACGAAGACTT